GCAACGAATTAAAAATCTAATTTAATTTTACTCGTATTTTTCAGTCGCATTGCTCGCTGGCTGACTCGCACTGGGTCCTAACTCATTTAAGTTGTTTTTCAAACAAGTACCATTTAAATTGTATTTCAAAGCAGTAGAGAGGATTCAAGTTCGTTTGGAAAATAATTCTTATTGATCAGTGGTTTATGACGGTGAAATTTGAAATAGGAATCTAAACTTATCAGAATTACCAGTAAGAGGTTGGAGATGCTTCCACTATGTTCACCCAATTTTATGGCAACTTTTTAACATCCCTTATCACTAAAATCACGAAAAAAGATTAAAGTTGTTAATAAGGTGCTGTCTGCGTGTGATTACATAAGCTTTTACCGCTCTCTGGTATGGGAAACTCTGATCAGTTGTTGTTAATGTCGTTCAGTTATGCATCAATCAATTCCACCTGCGCCCAGCCCCCCCCTCCCCCAAGGGCCACTGCGGGGCATTTGCCCGCCATGTCAGTCCCGGGGGTGGGGCATTTGCAAATTTTGCACTGCCCGGGGGCCGGGCATTTGCCAACCTCGAGGCCATTCCCAAGCACGCACGCGGTTTTTACTGGGAAAAAAGCAGATTGGAGCATCCGTCAAGGACAGGAATAAATTGAAGAGGGTTGTAAACGCATGTTCTTGATTTTATGCATGCATTTCTTCATTGCTTATCAAGCCAGAATTACATAGCGAAAATTAAAGCTATCGATGTGAATCAACGTTTTTTGGTTATTGAATCAAATTTCTGTTAATATTATTTAAAGATCATCCTTTCATAGTTATAAAACTATTCATAACATATAACTTTACAGCGCTCTATTAATTTTAATGTCAATGATTTTATATCAGTACTAAAACCATAACCTAGTGCATGTCGTCGCGGCGTGAAGAGAATATCGCCAAACAAAGGAAGACGTTTACGCATAAACGCCGACTATAATCAAAAAAAAGGTCAATTTGACAAATTGTCTTTTTTTTCTCCCCACCTCGTTTCTACCTTTTCCCCACTCCCGGGAATTTGGACCTCGTTTGGAGAAATTAGTGAAATACGAAGGAGAGTATGCTTGAAGTTTTACGCCCGCATATTGCATTTCTCCTTTAATCAGTGCCATACAAAGAGTTTTGCGTTTTTTCTCGGGAATTTATTTTATAAAAGCAATAAAAAACTTCTTTCCTGTGTTTGCATAGCCTGATATAAACACTCGAGGCGTTGGGAGAATTCTCTACAGTTATGCAAACCCTCGACTTCGTCTCGGGTTTGCATAACTGTCTCGAATTCTCCCAACCCCTCTCGTGTTTATATCAGGCTATGCAAGCACGGAAAACGTTTTGTATTGGTTAAATAGCCAGAAAATATATAATTATATATATAATATAATTATTGGTACCCAACGGAAGAAGAAATCAAGTTATTCTGCGTATTAAATTAAAGGAAGTGAAATTAAATTCTGCCTTGAAATAGTTAAACTGTTTTCTTGCGGTTTGTTTACTTAGTTCTTAAGAACTGGATACACCTGCATTAAAGTTGTAGCCGGTGAAAAGAGATCGACGGCAAACGACGCAATTCTCATTCGTTGTAAATGAAGTCCTTAATATTCCCTTCTTCGTACGTGATAACTGTTTTGGAAGGAATTATTTGGTTTTTCTTTTCGCCTGCACCGACTCTATCACCGCTCTTCGCCGGCAAAAGTGCTATTGATCGGCTTGACAAGTTAGTCAGATCTCACATCGCTTAAAAATTTCACCAGCATTTGCAACCGATACAGACCGCGTCAATCGTACTCCTAGAGAAATTGTTTGATTCTTTTTCTCCGCCCCCATCCGGTTTTAAAAGCTGACAGATTCTTCGCCAAGAAAAAAATTCCTAGTCAAGTATGTGAAACATATACAGGTGCAAGAGGGGATTTGTATCAAATCAGTTCACGGATAAGTTATGTTGAAGGTAATCAGTTTCTCAATTCTCAAAATGCATGAGCTTGTCCAGACCTGGTTGCCACACCCATAGGTTGTTGACCTCCAACGATCTTTCCCACACAGCCATCCTTGCCACCCACTGCTTTGAGCCAGTCACATGCAGTGTACACGAATTGAGACAGAGACATCTTAGTGTAAAGTCGAGGAGCAAAATTGATTGATATTCTTAGAAACCCAAAAACCGTTTGCTATTTAATTTCATCAAAGAATATTTTTGTTATGTGTAAGGCTGCTACGTATACATATTATTTTGCACTGACGGCTTGGGATATGGGTAAATTTTTTTGGGGGCAGAAAATCAGTTTTATGTAAATTGAAAACAGAAATTTTGACAAGAAAGCACATGTATTCTGAGGAGATCTACGCAGATGTGACTCTCAGATTAATTTTCTTTTTGAATAACAGAAAACGATCAATAATAAATGATGTTTGACTTAAAATAAGGCTGCAACATATTATCTTTTACTAATGACATGGGTAAATGATTTTTGGAAGGAAATGTTAATTAAATTAAAAACAGAAATTTTATCAAAAAAGCACTTTGTTTAATTTTGGTAAGTCACTAAAATAATTTACTCGGAAAAAGTCTGAAACATGTCCTTTATGGCCCCACTGACCTTCATGCTTACGATAAACGCAGCCACATAATTGGACAGGCTTTAGTAATTAACATTTCCTCTATGTTAGTCTTCAAAGCCTTGAAGATCCAGTCTAGTAAAGCACCTGAACCTATAAGATTCACAGAGCAATGAAAGAGGTTTCTTGTCTTTATCCATATAATTTCAGTTGTCAGCACAATGTTTTTTCGTTGTCCCACCCAGTTGAAATGACGAATATGACTAACTCCACTACACATTTTATATTAACAGGAAAATGGAGGTTCTTTTTGTGTTGTTTCTAATGCTATGCAGCATTACAGCTGAAGGAAATTCAGGTAGGAGTACTTCATATTCACTCATTCTGTTAAGTACAGTAAAGTCTAAGTAAAACATGGTGATGTGAGCCAAGTGCTTCACAAAATGAATTTAATTTAGTGTTTTAGATTATTTGCCATGATTACGAAATGTAATGAATAAAAATAATGTTGTTAACCCTATGAGACATTACGATATTTAATTTTTTTTAAGGTATCATCCACCCTCTAGCACCCTCCTCTCGTTGATCGGCGCTAGCGCTTTTGCTTTTAACAAATACCCCCATAAACCGTACATTTTCTGAAAGCTTAATAGTTCTAGGTTATTTCTGATTTCTTTTAAAAAAATCAAAATATTAACGCGATTTAGAAATGAGAAACTTTTTGTGAAAGTGGGTGTCACTGTAAATTTAAGTCCAGTCCAGCCAAAAATTAACGGAAGAAGCCAATTAAGAACGCATTCGCTTCTTGACACGTTTGACTAAAAAATCGTGTCTCAGATCTTTGTCAAGTGCGTTTGTTCTGTTGTTATAAGCAGGTGAAGTTAGGGATAGCAAATCATTAGCACTACCAGTGAAAAAAATACTCTAACTCGAAAACGAAAAAAGAAATCAAAATTCGTAGGCACTTTTCTTAGAAAAACTATCTGACAGTAAGTTGGCCAAAATTCAGCCAAATTGGTTCACGGGTTGCCGACTTGGAGTTTAAAACGTACCCTCACCTTGCCCTGATTTTCATTTCGAGAAAACAGTGGAAAAAAGATTTTTGGCAGCGTATTACTCGTGATGAGATTATAACAGATTGTAACACCAACTTGAAAGCTGTCAATGTTGATGCATACCAGGGAAGGGACAACAATAGTGACACAGCAGGAAAAGTTGAAAACGAAACCCGACAACAGATGAACAATTTTCAAAGGCTCTGCTCTGTTCGATCCTTTCTGTTGTCGAGAAAGCTTCATTAGTAATTTGCAACGGGCAGTTTTCATTTTCGCACCGGACAAGCCAAGTTGAGCCAAGCCAAAGTTGGACACTGCCCGGGAAAAATCGACAACAAACCGCTTCCTGGAGTTTTTCTTGAAGCTTCTTTCCCGCTACAATAGATTTTCAAAACAGTACTTCATCCGATTTTTATATGACGCGGGACCTCTCGTGACTTCGTCTCTCGCTTAGCTGCTTCGCGGCCTAAAAAATTCGCTCCTCTCGCTAACGAAATCGTGAAACTCGATTCCGCGGTAGCTTCAACGGGTTTTTCAGGAGCTTTGTCATCTTTTAGCCCTTTTTCTTGATTGTAGTAGGAGCCCTTGTCGCTCTCTGCTAATTTCGAAGCCCACTCTTTGGCGTCAAAACGATTTTGTAGTCTTCTTTTGTCTTCGAGGCGAGGACGAAAACGGACAAGCTCTTTAATTTTTTCTTCTTTGTAGGCATTCACTTTCAAACTCCAGGAAAAAACAGTGAGCACTATACTTGCAAACCACGATTTCTGTCAAATTGCGTGATTAGCTTGGTTCAACAGCGGCACGCGTATCAAGTAGACGGGCCTTGTCAACGATCAATTAAAATAATCAGCATAGAAAAAACTTTTGCGCTCCATAAGTCTGCACGGAAAAAACATTTTTTCCTGGAATTTTTTTAAAAGAAAGCTCTTGATGAGCTCTATTTAATCGTCTAAAAATTGCAAATTTAGAAAAATGATGATTTTTTACCCTGAATGATACCTAAAGTGGACATACGAGTCACCCTTTTTGGGCCCTTGCTGCTGTTAATCAGCGGTATACGTGCAACCTTGTTCACAGGAAGGAGAGGCCGGCCTCTTAACAACTTTGAGGATTTTCTCTGTAAGGAAAAAAAGGGGGATTCGAATGCATAGGTATTTGACCTGCATCAACTTATCCGAAACTGAACTTTCGGATTCGTAATGAATTCGGAAAAATGTCCTGAGGGTGTGAACCTAGCTAGCCCTAGACAAACTATGAGAGTTAAACTGTTAAGGAACAATCTAATATCTAAGATGCTAATGTACTATTAATCCGACTAGTAATTACTAGAAATGACAATATGATTAGCAATTGTGCATTTGATTTTGCAGAATGCGGTTCAGTAGTAAATAATACTACACTAACAAGTCCAGGACATCCAAACCACCATCCAAGAAACATGGACTGTAATTGGACTTGGGAAATTCCAACAGGAAAAATTCTGAATGTGACCTTTGCATCATTCGACATGGAACCTCTGTGGGATTGTGGGTAGGCGATTTAAATGAGAAGTAGAAAAGGGTTGTAAAGTCCTCGAGCCGTATCCATCTTAAATCAGTACTATAGAGCTGAATATCTGCTAACAGACAACGGCCTCCCCCAAACGGCCTTTATTTGATAGTTCCATTGGGGAATTGGGGTTAGGTATAGCTTAAGTGCAGTTCGAGTGTATTTTTGTCAATAGAGCTCTTTAGCGTATATTTTTTTTGTTTTCTTAATGTAGGTCCTGTGATAATACTCCAGAGAATTGTGTATTTCAAACTTCGATTTTTTTCTCGTGCATATGTACCCATAATTTATGAAAAGAGAAAGTGGGTAAAAGCTAAAGCTTAAGACTTAAGACTCTTTAAAAAGAGACTATGACACCTACGAACTGGAATTATTAATACACCAGTCTGTCAAGTTTCATTTTTATTTCCTTTTAAGCAAACATACAGACACACTTGTTATTCTGCTTTTCTTGTGACTTTTCTTCCAAAAGTCAAAACAGTAGAGGTAAACCACTCTGCCTTAAATCAAACACATTCTACGCTTCCTTGAACATTTTCCAGAGGTTTATGGTCTTACTAATTTGTCAAGTTATTGAACGATTTTGTAAGCCAAGGCAAGACAAAGCCTAACAAGATAGATCGTCCCTTTCTTTTTCATGGAAAAATAATTGTTGACCAAAGCGATGGGCGTTAATAATCTAGCAGAGTAGTAGTTTGATACTCTTGCATTAGAAGCGAAGAAGCTTACCTAGCTGCAATGTACACAACATAAAACCGCAATAATATTACAACGCTGTCTAAAAAAGACCAGTTACGGACTTTTGTGGGCAAAATGCAAGAACAAAACAAATAAATTAAATGTGTAATCTTGCGCAGGTTATCAAAGCAAGTTTTTTTTGTCACCAAAATAAAATTTGTTTTTTGTAGAAGAACCAAACGGTTTTACTGTTTCATCGGGCCTGGATCTTTTATCTTCTTGTAGGAGAGACTATTTGAGTATTTACCATCAAAGCAACGTTCTGATTGGCAAGTATTGCGGTGATTTGACGTACAATTTGGCAGTGATAGTTGCCGGGAATTACACAGTGATCAAATTCCACTCGGAAAACGTTGACAAAGGAAAGCGTGGATTCAGATTGCATTTCAGTGAATTACCTCGAAGTGGTAAGTACAGAAGGGACCGAAGCGTAATACAAGAATTTGTGTGGGAAATAATTCTCAATTTTCAATCTAACCTACTTGCGAGCACAGGCGCTTCGATCTTCGTAGATAGGTCGGGACAGTATCTAAGATGGCGACCAGCCGTGATATTTTACGTATCACTTTTGTCTGGCTACACATGAATTAATTTTCTTCGTAAATTAGTTGCTCTAACGTCTTTATTCGCGAGGGAGCTTAAGCAACAACAACGGCGACGGCTACGAAAACGCACCTAATAGCAAATTTAATCGAAACGATGCAAAGTAGACGTAAACATTTCGATTATCTCTCATTTTCCTCGGCAGAGCTATGCGGTTCGGCGAAGGATAATATACTGAGATCCCCTGTATATGTACAAAGTTATCCACCAAATATGCACTGCGTCTATAATATCTCAGTTCCACATGGCAAGGTGCAAAAACTTGTATTTCAAATATTTGAACTGGCGTTTGATCCAGAATGCAGGTTAGAGTAATATTCCTTGATTAAGTGTGTTTCTAACTATAGTGTGTTAGTGAGCAGTGTCAAAATAAACCGTGAAAATGCTAACTAAATTTGGATGAAAGGGAAACCTGAACCGGCAAGAACTGGTGGCTTATGATCCAAGGATCACTATACAAAACTTTGGGTAATAATATAATGAGCTCAAGTAATTACATGTTAACAGGGCAAGAAGTGCACCTAATAAGGACACCAATGTCTGTGACAGTTATTGGCGTTCAAATATTGACATAATTCACTGGGAAGTGAGTCTGTTGATAAACATCATCAGGTTTCAAATTGCTACGTAATGCAGTGGTCATTCATATTAAAAACCTCGGCTTAATTTTGAAAGGTCAAAACTCTTAAATAACTTAAAGTAAACCGTTTTTTTCTTTGTACTTACTTGAAGGAATTGGCCACCACTTCGAAATGTTAAGAAGTCAAATGGCCCTCACAAAAAGTTAATATCATGTCATGGAAAAGCAACTTCAAAGAAACCAATCCATCTGAATGGTTCTTCATTCTGAACAGAAGCCTTAGACTTAATGCATTTTAACAGGAACATATGTAAAAGTAATTTGTTTAAAGTAAACCCGTGAAATATTGAGTGTTTCCTTTGCAGATTGAACTACCTGAGCATTTCACATGGTAATAACTCTATCGACCATTATTGCGGTAACTTAACGGGAAAAGTTATTTTCGTTTCACGAGACTATCTGGTGTTAACATTTCACTCAAACGAGAAATTTGATCCTAACAATAGAGGATTTGAAATATTTTTTACGGAAGATGTAAACATGCCTGGTAAGTGAATGTAACGATAACTATACTATATCAATACCACCATAGCAAATTCAGTTATATTAGAGTACAGACACATGGATGACGTCACGGAAACGTTTTTTCTTTGTTTGTCAAACATGGCGCGCGCTTTTGAAATGTATTCGAGATTATTTCGGAATAAGCAAGTGAAGGACTTAAAAAGGTGGGGCTCGTGTGCCTCTTATTTGTTTGTTTGGTTTTGTTTTTACCACTTTCTCACTCTATCTGTGATCTATAACTGAACGGACGTACGGCAACATGGAATCTATTTGCAAAACGTTGTCAAAAGAAAAGGCACCCTGCTAGCAGGGTGGACAAAAGTTTATGAAAATTAATAATGATCACCAAAGAAAAAATGCTATGATCTTTTATCAAATGGAAATGAGCGGAGATCGGTATGGAAAATTATTGTGTACGCGGCGTTTTCCTGAATGTTTCATGTTGGCAAATATCATGGTCGAGGAAAAGCTTTACAACTATTTTAAAATTGCAACTAAAAGAAAGACCGGTCACATATTGAATATCCTGAGAAAACAGCCGTGATTTCACGACCCCACCACTGGTTTCCCCGCGAAGTGACGTCTTAGGAAGGACTGCAACAATTCCATACTTATGACGTGTCATTACCCAGATTTGGGTAGTGCTTCTGATTGGTTGAGGCAAATTTCGCGGCACAACCAATCAGAAGCACTACCCAGATCTGGAATGTTGGCATACGTCATTTCGCGGAAAAACCAGTGAAACCAGTGCTCGCGAAATGTTGGCTGTTTCCTCAGGCTAAGTATTGAATAAGTTATAATTTGACTATATTTTCAGCACCTTGTCCACTAGGATGGACAAGCCTTTATGGTTCTTGCTACAAAGTATCTTCCAACGAACTGGAGTGGAACTCAGCAAAGTCCGCTTGTGAAGCACTGGGATCAAGTCTTGTTATTCTGAACTCACTGGCTAAAATACAAGAGCTCATTAAAAGAACAAATGGCCAGACGTGGATTGGTTTACAGAGGGATCTCAAGGGCAGTTCACCCTGGCAATGGGTTGATGGGTCTGGCGCTTTTTATAGCTACTGGTGGAGTGGAGAGCCAAACGATATCGACGGCAACGAAGATTGTGTAGTAATGAACCCTCACATAGGAAAATGGAATGACCGAGGGTGTTGGAAATCTCATTATTACGTTTGTGAAATCAACGGTAACACAACTTTCTATGGTAATAAGTAAAATCAAAAAGTAAAGTAAATTTTAAATTTGATGTGTAAACAGTACTTCCAATGATTGTACGGTTTATTTAAGATCCCAATGAATCTGGATATTTCTCATAAAGGTAATAAAGGTAGACTTCTTGTATTATAATAAAACGAAAATCTTTTTTTCTTTTTCAGCGACAAAAATACCAGCAGTCAGCGACAACAACTTTTGATTCCTCCACTTATGATAATATTCGTTCATTTCAGAAATATTAGAAACCTTAGATTCTAGGGCGAGAACGACAACGAGTACGAGAGTTCATTTAAAGTTTTTTCGCATATTCTCAAATAATAGACACTGTGGATAGCTTCATTCTACATCTTTTCCACCAAAAACTTAGCCCTGTTATCTTTATTGAATGAAGTTAAACTCCCAGCTGAAAAATAATAAAACCTATAACACTTTATAACTCGCTTCTGACCGCTAACACCCTAACTCGTACTAGAATGACGCGGACGTTTCCCGCCAAAATGACGCTGGTTCACTCGCGCGCACTACTGAGTATTGAGGAAATCTGGTACTCGTAGTCGGACTCGTCTTAGAATCTAAAGGTCTCTATTTGTCTTTCGCAGGTTGCCCCCAGGACTGGATTCAAATCCTCGGCTCCTGCTACAGAGCCTCTTCTTACGCACTGGATTGGTTCGCGGCAGAATCTGCCTGTAAGGCAATTGAATCTAGTCTTCCTATAATGACTTCACGTGCTGAACAAGATGCCCTTGGCTCATTTCTAACACAAAGCGCGTGGTCTGGTATGCACAGGAATCCCAGTCACAATTTTGGTTTGGTCAGTGGTTCACAAGCTAGTTATGTTCATGAATTACTCGGTCAATTGGAAAGTTTGACGGGCGAGGGAGATTGTGTAGAGATAAATTCGAAGGGAAAACTGAAAAATAGAGACTGTCGTCATCACCATCAGTACCTTTGCACAATATCGGCAGGTAAGTAACTCCAAGAAAACATCACGTGTTTCTGGAAGAGTTAGAATTTTTTTTCCAGATTATGCTTGTGTGTATTGTATAAAGGTGCCAGTTAATAATCTTAAAAAGGTGCCACTCACTTGAAAGAAGTGGAATAAAAAGAAGACAGAAAAATTAATACTTGATTGCCAGGTCCATTAACCTCAACCGGAGCGACCCACTCATATACTAATCACGGCCATCAAGTAATTTTAGATTCATTGTAAAGTACTTTTCCAGCAAAAATAAATAAGCTCCAGGCAAAAAGCACTAAATGGATTTTACTTTGCTTCTCTTTTACACTCTGTCTTTTTTAAAAAGGAACCAAGTGCAGAAAACCTTCACTGGGGGATGATGTGGTTGTTTCACCTTCTGATTGTCTTTTACCAACTCACCCACATGGAAAGATTTGCTCCTTTTACTGCGCCCGTGGATATCAAGTCAGCGGTCCTTCATCTGCTCGTTGCGGGATTGGTGGATCATGGAGTGAGGATGCCAACACCATCCTTTGTGATGGTTTGTATCTTGATATTTTAAGTTTCACTTCCCCCCTCAACCGTAGCGTTAAAAATAAGCCATTGTTTAAGATTTTTTGGATTGCTGTCAATCCAACGCGAAAGCTATTGACTTCTGCAGATTGGAGCTTGTAAATCAAGATGTCTTTCCAACCAGTAAATCGGACGCCTTAAACCAACTTTGTAAAGCATTTTCTAATTGTAATTATTATATAAATAATCTTCAGTTTTAAAATAATTATCACCACCGCTGCAACCAACACTGCCACCACCATTACCACAATTATCATTATCATCATCGTCATCATCATTATCATTATCATTATCATCATCAAAAAACAACAACAACAACAGGGTAATAAGTACTGCTACAATGCTGTTCGAGAGCCGTCGTTGTTTGTTTTTATTCAATAGAATGTGAAGAAGCTCTCGGTATGGGAGACGGAGAGATCTCCAACGGGCAAGTCATTGCTTCTTCGCAACTGGATGCCGAGCATGCAGCCATCAACGGCAGACTAAAGGCTATAAGAACTTCAAATAAAGTAGGATCGTGGTCACCTTATACCAATAATGTTAAGCAATGGTTGCAGATAGATCGGGGCAGCCAAGAGCGTACCCTTGTAGCAAAGATTGCTACTCAAGGAGAAAATGCTAAAAGCACGTGGGTCACACATTACAGATTACAGTACAGCGACAACGGAGATAAGTTCAATGTCTACAAAGAGTTAGGACAAGTTAAAGATAAGGTGAGAGGCCTCTTCTTCGCCAAAGTGAAAAAAAGCAGTTTAACATTTCTCCACCAACCTTTAAATACGTATATATTTTGCTCGTGTGCACTTCTGTACAGAGTAAAAATATGTCTGGCAACCTGCTATCTTTGAGGAATGCAGCAAGAAACGAATTTATTAACTAAATGTAACACATGTGAGTCCTACCTGGATTTTGCAGGTGTTCGATGGCAACACAGACCCGGATACTATTGTTTCTCATAAACTAAATCCACGCATAAGAGCAAGGTACATCCGTTTCCTACCAACCGCTTGGCATAAACACATCTCTATGAGGGTGGAACTCTATGGATGTAAAGGTAATTAATGAACAGATGGCTTTTAATTTAAGACATTTCCTAATTAACTTTAAATCTAAGACTTACATGTATGAAGTGGATCCCCTCCCCAACCTCCCCAAGCAGTTTACTTTTATCTTGGATACATTTTGACGAAACTTGGAGACACACGGTTGCTTATTTTGGTTACGACATATGAAACTATTAAAGGAGAGAGCTCAATCAATTTCCGAGCAGTTTTTACAGTTTTGCCCTGAAATATTTCTTTAAAAAAAACAGAAATTATAACATGATACATGATAAATTACCAAAAGAAGAAAGAACGAACGACTGTACAGAATACAGAAGACATTTCCCTCTAACATAGGAGGAATTAAGTTAATTTTGTGAACCAATTTAATAAAAAATAACTCTTTCATGAGTCAATCTGACAAATGATCTTTCCTTAGGGACACCAAATTTTGGCCACTGGTTCCTAGATGATTCAGACAGAGAGTGCGATCTATTTCCGAACAGTTTTTTACAGCTTTACCCTGAATATGGATAAAATAGTAATAAAAGAATACAAGTGACAAATTATAACATGATAAATGATAAATTAATTACCCAAAAAAAGGATCCACGATCAAACGACTGTACAGAAGAAATTTCTCTTTAACATTAGAAGAATTCAGTTAATTTTGTGATTCAATTTATAAAAATAAAATCTTTCATGAGTCAATCTGACAAATGACCTTTCCTTAGGGACACCAAATTTTGGCCAGTGGTTTCTAGATGGTTCTGATTCAGATGTAAGGTTAGTATAACATATAAATAACCTATTGAAGGAACATGATGATAATCAAGACGATGATGATGATAATGATAATAATAATAATCATCATCATCATCATCATCATCATATTCATGGTCATCATCATCGTTATCGTAAGTCAACGCCTTTCGTCATGGAAATTTTATCATAATGTTCTCCATGCATTTGATAAATATTCACAAGTCACGCATCACGGGAGAGACCCTTCATAATTTGTCGTAGTTTTCAAAAACTTTGAAAGGTCTCTTGTGGTATGCTCCTCTTAAGGTTATATTTCATATTTATTTTAACAATCATTGCTCTAATTTCATTTCGTAGTTTTTTTGGTGCGGTCAACTACACTGAAGGTTGGTGTCTTGGAAGTAAAGCAGCGTATTTCAGTCAAAAAGGCTCCTTTGTCACCGTGCCCAAAATGAACATTACAAACTGCGACTTTACAATTGCTTTTTGGGTTAAATCCGGTGATATAGAGGGACCTTTAATGGCGATTTGGTCTGTGAGTGGAAAGCTATTTTACGCGGCAATAAAGAATTCCAGTGTCATCTTGTCGATACATAACACTGTAGCAAAAGCAAACTTCGCAATCAGTGACTGGAATCATGTTGCCATTACCTGTGAGGAGTCTAAGATCAAGGTGTTTGTAAATGGAACAGAAATTTTAACGAAGGAACAATGGAACGAGTTCTTCTTCTTATCGTCAGACCATCTTGAGACGGAAAATGTGATAGGAAATCATCCAGTCCTGTTCAAGTTGCCATTGGTAAATAAACCTTTTGTTGGTGCACTGATGGACCTTCATGTAATCGAAACTGCCTTGTCTGCAAATCAGATTTCTGACTTAAGCAAAGGTAATCTGTTGTTATTAGGGAGTTTAACCAAATGAGTTTTTGAGTGACGCACGTCGACCGGAAGTGAGCCGTTTTCGCTCTTTATACATCTTGACGCTGCCAAAATTGTAATGCCTCGTTGTCTTGCTCTTATTAGGGGCTTAGACGATCGGACGACGCGACGGCAGCCAAAACGTTGCTCCGCTAAGGCGCAAATCATGCTACTCGTGATACAAATAAACTATAAGCCCCCAAAGGTCATGTGATTGTCGTAGTGATCTAAAAATGCATACAGGTTACGCTGAAAAAACGGAAGTAATTTTGAGGTGGTCAAGAACTTGAGCGTCTTGTTAGACCAGATGGCTAAACGGGGCCAATTAAACCAGCTGGAGTGGCAACCCTACAGTCGCGAAAGAATCCCCATATTTTGCTGCTCTATCTTAATTGATCAGAAACAAAATAATCAAACCGAATCCCTTGTAGCCTACACACAAGTAAATAACTAACTGATGACGATATATTTTTGTGAACCTAAGGCACGCCGAAAACTCCAGTTATTAACAAAAAGGAAAGCAAGATAAATGATTGCACTGTGAACCTCACATGGAGCCGTGACGTGTGTGCCACGACGAAGAACACCATACGCTTCAGGGTGATAAATCCACAGGGCTACAGAGCAGAACGCCGGGTACAAGAGCATACTTCAGCGAAGTTATATCATCTATTGACACTTGACTGCGACAAAATCTATCAGATTCAAGTGTCTTCGTGGATTGGTGAACTTCAAAGCGACTGGTCTACTCCTTGGCAAGTTCAAACTCACCCACCCATGATACAGCAGGATACACAAAACGTCTACTGTAAGTACCGCAAGGGAACAAAACATAGCTTACCTTAACCCAAGCTGAAATTCTAAGGGCTTCGTCACGCGTCGTTGCGTGACAAGGCTACTTCCCCCAGGACCAGTGAGGTTTTATATCCGTTCAGACCCGTAAGGTGATGGATAATGCCATTAGGTAAGAAACAAACCAGAAAAACCCGGCCGCAAAAACAAATCGTTTCAGATGTACTTATAATTCATCTCTCTATTATTTTGAACAGGGTAAAATGCCTCAATAATGACCGACGTTTAAGTTACGTTCAGGCGAACGAGAAAATTTCTACCTTACTCTACGCGCTCGGTCATTATTTTTCAGAAGAAGCCTAACTAACTAGGCATTATCCTATTTATAATCTCTGCCATTTTTTTAATGAAGCCCCAAAATTTCCGAGAAGGAATCTTTATTACCCGAACTGAGAAAACAGCACGAAATTCCAAGGCAAAAGCATGGTTACTTGATATGAAAAATCATTAAAAATTTGAAAAATCAAGTCAAATTATGGTGATAATGAAGCCATCTTTTTAACAACAGACCTTTTCATGGCCACTTCTGCAGGAGAGATGGGGAAAACAAAACAGATTTTAAAAGAGATATATGCAAAAAGTTCAGAGTGCAAAAAAATACAAAAACAAACTCCCGTAACCGAGACAAAAACACCTATCCTCTTATGGATGACGTACATGTAAATTGTATGCATTCCATATCTTTTTACATTAATTTATTTCTGTCTTCCCAGCTAACGATGACGTTACGAAAACTTTGGGAATAGTTCTTGGAATCACTGCTACTCTCGCGGCAGCAATTCTCGTAGGGATCTACCGAAGGAGGCAAAAAAGGGAAGAACGGTATGCTTAAATGACACGGAAAAGTCAAGAAAGTTTACCCCACGCATGTTTACAAAGTTGGACACTGACATTGACACTAGCGTCATATCCGACAACTTCTTCGAAAAGCATTTCTCCGAGGAAACATAATGTGTTTGGTCGGACTCGAAAACCGATTTGTTGTTTTTTTGGGGGGCGTGGTGTCTTTTCCGATTGACGGAAGATCTAAATGCAAAATCGGGCCAACTTTTCTGTTCACCATATGTTTTGGTTACAAAACCGGCCAGACAAACTGTTACGTATAAAGTAGCCTTTAAATTATACATTACAATATGTGCTACATGCCGTAACCTTAACAGGAAGGTACAGTGTGTTTCGTTTGTTTGTTCGTTTTTGTTTGCGCTTTAAATACAGTTTATTTTTCGACAGACGACAGGTACATAGCGTGCCCAGGCTAGAACGAAGACAGACATGCGCACTGGACCCCAGTTTCAACTTTAAGTCAAATTGTACTCAAGGAAATCGAGTGACTTCTATTGCTCCCCATAAAAAAGGAATTTTCCGTCATGTGTCTTAAACAACAGAGGCGGCGGAGCCTTTCCAAACGTAAGGGGGGCTCATCAAAGGGTCTTTTATACACGGGTTTTCCCCCTTCCATTGACCGACGGTTATGCCATGCTGAAGAACCCCAATAAGGGCGAAACAGCCGTCCATGGCTGCCACTACACAAATTTGACTGCCGCCTGGTTAGCTCAGTTAGGAGAACGCCGGTCTGCTGAGTGCGTTTTTCGTTAGCACAGGCAAATCTCTTTGTAATCTTCACAGTGTCTAGTGAGAAGATTGCGATTTGGGGCAATGTATCAGTAGGCATTTGTTTAGACGGTCCTGCTTCGTGGTGCTCGTTAGGCGGCAAATCGTCTAGTGAGGGCAGGAGCTGTTCACTTTGAAGTCGCCGATGTCCCATGTAATGTTTGGGGGGGGGGGGGGCCCCTGCTCCGCCGCCTAGGTAGTAGGAGAAACTGCTCTTCCTACGCAGTTTTTTAATAGTTCGATCCTGTACAAAACAAAAGTTTTTACTAATATTGGATATTTCTCATTTAGATCCAAGAAAGAAATTGTTCATTTTATGTCACTGGAAGTCCCACACGAGCGGGTAACCATCGTGGGCGAACTTGGTCGAGGGGCTTTTGGCAAGGTTCATAAAGGTGTGATGAAGGAGGTAACAAACGCAAATATATATCCCGATACCAGTGAAAGAAATCCAAATGTACATTCCAAGGACAGCCTACGACCACTGAAGGACAATATTAATAAAGGACGAATTGTTGCTGTTAAAGTCCTTCTTGGTGAGTTACTAAGCCATTTTCGATGAATGTTTACAAATCATGTTCGACCAGCACGTTGTATGTGTAACTTTAGTATAGTCGAAGTTCACTTCCATGTGGGATCAAGGCCTCTACTTCCGACAATGCAATGGAAAATAGCTTAACTTACATGTGACAGACATCTTGTTGATGCTGAGGCTAAAGTCAAACCTCCATAATCGGCCACCTCTCTACAACGGTCACTATTTTCTGTCTCTAGGGACAGTCTACACAATGACTCTTGTTTAAACGTCTCTTCAACGGCAACAGCCACTAACGCATGACCCCAACTGCCAAAATAACCTGTCAACAACGGCCATTTTTTCCGCCGACTGATGAAAACGTCAAGAATGATCATGGAACTTGATCCGTATGGCGCGTTGATGATTAATCGCGGCAATCCTATTTTGATTGTGTTCCATTTATACTGCTGCAGCAAGCATAAATTGTCTGCGATACGTCTGCCAATGCTGGGAACTTTGCTCGTTTTGTCACGCTGACATTTTGATTCAAAACATGATGCCCTTCATCATCACTTTCTTTGAATGGCTAAGCAGTTCACAAACCCTCTCGACATTGTTTTTCTTGACTGATTTTAACTGATATCCTTTTATTCATTAACTCCCGTCTTTGTTTAGAAAATGCTGGAGAGGAGGAAAAACGACAGTTTCTTCAGGAAATTGACCTCATGAAGGACGTTGGATCGCATCGAAACATTCTTAGCATACTCGGTTTTTGGATTCGGTCGGAGCCCATTATGTTGATCATGGAGTATGTTCCTCACGGAGATCTTCTGCAGTGGCTTAGAAACAAAAGACAGCAAATAAAGCATGTTACTGTATGTATCGATTTTTTGCCATTTTCTCCCTAATAACAAAATCTATATCAGCTTATTTGTTGCCCCGTTGCATTTCCTATAAACGTATAGCCTGGAGCATTTCTCAAAATATAAAGTGAATTCAAATTTTTTGTACATGTCTTCAATTTCTGTTAACAAATTTATGAAGCATTGATAATACAACCAGAAACATGATAGAGTTTTGCATATTTAAAACATCTAAGGAGAGCCAAAACCACTGTGGAGAAAGAAACACTCCTTTATTTATTTGTAACATGGGAAATGTATGAATTTGCTTTTACATTCTATATCCAAAAGTTGATATCGCTTTCTTGAAAACGGGTAATTTACTTGGTCTGAAATCAGAAAATCTTATTTCTAAAGAAAGAAATATCTATAATAAGCTGTATATGTCGTATGGTTATTGCGCTTTCGTCTGTGTAGAAAATGATCTTTTGGCTCTGGTAAAATTGCTTTACCAGTCTATACTATACAGAATATTAATTTGTAAACCTAAATCATGTTTGAACTACTTGCAGCTTACAAAGAAGAATAATGACCATACCGATGTCTTAGAAAGTCAGAAGAAAAACATGGGTGGTCGAGAGATAAAAGGAGGGAAGATTAAAAATGAAAAACAAGAGGAAAATGGTTCCATGCAACTGCAAGAACTAGAAAATCCACACAAATCCAAGGTAACCGATGTTGACACCAATGTTGATCGCCTACTTGAAATACTACCTCAGTGTTCAACTTTGGAAAAAGAAGAGACAACATCGCTAGGGGAGAGTTCGAGAAATCTCCCAGAAGTTGTTACAAGCCTTATTTTGGTAGGAGGCGAAGGACCCACTCATCAGCTCACGACCTATGACGAACCGAAGGGAAGCGATGGAATAACCTTGACTATAGAAACAGAGGATAAGAACAGCGACGCTAATGGAAAGCAAAAGAGAATAGAAAGTTCGGAAAACGAGACAGGCAAGTCCAAAGATGATGCCATGAACGTATACGTATCATCTCCAGAAACCAAACCTGGTAAAGAAAACGAAAAGAGGGTACAGTCATTACCATCGACCTTTAAAGACGACCAGTTTCCTGAATCCCTTGAAAGGACCACAATGGCAGCCTCTACAGAGCACGACGAAGGCACTTGTGACATCGACAATAAAGATCACGTTTTTTCTGCAGATGATATGATGAGTTTTGCGTGGCAGATTGCTAAGGGAATGGTAGGTTATTTCTTTGCTATGGGAAAGGAATCATACGAACAAACACTAACAAATACATCCGAAAACAAAGATTTTGTTTTTATGCCTAAAGTTTAATATATATTCGAAAGCGACTATACCGTGAAATAGAGGCACTTCTGAAACTATCGCACGTATACTACAACCTCACATCATACGCGTTGTACACAAAGCGATAACCACTTTGCGACGACTAATTACTAGTTAATGTCAAGGACAAAGAAAAACTGGAGGACAGACAGGGAGCAGTATACAAGATAAAATGCTACAACTGGCAGGCTAATTACATTAGTAAGACCGACAAAAACCTAAGCACGAGACTGACTGAACACAAGCGAGCGACAAGAAATGGTGATGTCAACAATCACATTGTGGAACACCATTTACGGACGAAACATCAAAACGAATTGTATTACGTACTGTACATACTACTATCAACGACTCACTTTAGAAGGTTGGTTTACAAACTTAGAGCAAACCCCACTAAATCGCAGTCAACAGTTACCGGCACCGTACAAACGACTAATTGATGGATTTCAAGCAAAACTAACTACAAGAGGGTGACTGGACAACTGACAATTTGACTAACAATAAACGACTGTTAAACTATGACAATTGCAATAGACGGATCGAAACGCACCATAGTCTTCATAGAGTCTTCATAGCCAATAACATTACGGCTTAATTGGCAGACGACCAATAACATCGCCACTTAATTGACCAAACAGGCCAATAATCAGAGTTTAATATCATTAACTAACGTGATACAACTCACTTTGACTCTGAAGATGACTACCGCACAGGTTGTCGAAACGTCAGTCACTGTCAAAAACAGTCCTATTCAGGACTTCGTTCAACCGAACGATCAATATCAACCAACTTATGAAATGACCACTGGGTTCAAACCTTTCACAGCTAAAATAATCTGTTGCCCACAAAAAAGGGTTAAAAATGCTCAAATAACGGCTTCACCTCATTACGTTTTGCCAGAACTGGTAACTATTAGTAACTAGAAAAATCTGTCTGAGAAGAAAATAAGCAGCTACAAAGGAGAAAAGGGATCAGGCAAAGGGCTAACAAGTAGATAGAAAAGACTAAGTTTTAAATCATCATTTTATCAGGAATACTTGGCCAGTAAAGGATTTGTTCATCGCGATCTGGCAGCCCGTAACATCTTACTTGGTGAAAACAAAGCGGTGAAGATTTCTGATTTTGGTATGCTACGCCGCACGGGTGAGAGTGAGATATATGAGGTGGCAACCGTTAAGAAACTGCCCATAAAATGGACAGCACCTGATTCATTGGAGACTGGAATTTTTACTTCCAAGAGTGATGTGTAAGTTAAATAAAAAATTTTTGCAAGGTTTCTTAGGCCTATTGTCACCTACAACACAGGTATAAGAACGAGCCACATACCAAGACTAAAAACAGAGAAACCTACTACTAAGTCAATTCCTTCTTAGGCCTTGTTCGCCAGAGACAATTTTTGGAAATTTTCCTTGATAATTGCTCTCTTACCAGTTACCATCCCTTTCTTTTCAAAGGGGACTGGGTTTGAATTTATTCCAACCAAAAGAAGGTTAACCTCCCACGCAGGCGTTTTTAGGGAAGCTCGGATTTCGTCCCTCCCAACAAACTCCTGCTCAACCGAGAACAACATCCCTTTCCCAAGCTTAGCCAATCACATTGTATCTTCCAAGTTCTGGAACTTTGAACTTGACCGCAGGGGTACCCGATAACTATTCGATCTGTATGGAACACTGGGAAAGCTATATAACCTCTCATAAATGTTAGACTCAGAGCGGCAAAAGTAAGATTTATTCAGGTTTTAGAATACTTCGTGCACTGCATAACCTTAGCGTAGGGAAGCGAAGAAGGAAAAAGGTAACTCTAGGGTCACGTTTTTACACTACCATGAGCTTATGAGTCGTGTTTAGCCTATCAACACTTCAGCCTTTCAAAACTGTTGATTGAACTGGTTACTTACGACGTGAATAAAATAATGGAAAAGGAATGTTATTCTCCGTTGAGCAGACATTTGTGGGGAGGGACGAAATACGAGCTCCCCTAAAAAAACCTGCGTAGGAGGCTAAAAGAAGATTGAATACGTCCTAGCTTCCGATTTTAGAGCCTGTGTTTCAACCTGACTTTCCCAGTTACACAATAGGCCACTTGCATGATGACGTCATTTTATAACAACTACCAGAATCCTTCAGGGTTTTGCTTTCTTGTGCAAATTAGGGCTTTTGTTATTTAAACTTCACTGGGTTTACCAAATTTCAGTATGAAAGAAAAAAAGAAATGAATTCTTGTCTTAGTAGTAAAAAGACGTCATCGTGCAAATGGCTTATTTACTGTATTTCTCTCCGCCCTCCGATGACTACCATGGAAGGGCAGACCCTCCACTGAGTAAAACTCTGTGTCACTGCATGCTTCCCTAAGAACCTCGTGATGAATAGAATTACAGCAAGTGGTCAGCAAGCTGTCATGTTGCTCACACCAAGATACCCTAATGAAATATTAGCATAGGTAAAACTACTGACCTTTCCGGTTACGTTTAGAAAAAAAATATACAATTATTGATGTAAGGATTCGCGGACAATCAAGAGTAATTTCTCTCTTCCTCTCATTAGAACTTTTTAATTTATAATTGTTGAGTTGTTTCACCGATTATTTGTTTTCATCATACTGTACCTTGTTCCTTAGATGGTCGTTCGGAGTTGTTTTGTGGGAAATGGCTACCATGGGTGAGATATCTTTAAAGCTTTGACTGATGTTACACCGGAAGTAGAATGATTGTCTATTGCATTTGTTTGTTTGTTTTACTAATAAATTCTAACAACGTAACTCCGTATCCAGATCTCTTGTCGAGGAAGCCAAAGGCGAGATATGGTCAAATACGTACGTCACGTGATCGCCGGTCAGGCGCACTCCCTCACAATCTTAACAGTAAGAGTAACCAATGAAATATGTTGATTTTCAATGAAGTTCAGATATAACGCGCACTCTGTTTGGTTGCAAATGTGTGCTTTATGAGAGTATAAAGCCAGCTAAAGTGTCGCACCATCTGCCAAAAGTTTGTTTGGAGAATTAAAAAGTGACGTATGGGGAATTTAACGGATTCTTTATCATGAAACAAATAAAGAAGCCTTGACACTGTGCTCTGTTTAGTGTGACGCACGCAGAAAACGGCAAGAGCACTTAGGAAGTAGAGAGAAACACTCCACTAGGTCTCGGTTTCCCCCAACAATTCTTTCCTGCTTTAGCTGCTTCCGGTGTGCTTTACAACAGAACAGAGTACAGTCGAAGCGATCTCGTCCTTGGCTTCGTGGAGAAGAGATCTGGGTACAAGTTCACTATCAACGTTGTGAGTTAAAGGACCTGTGTCACGAAATTCTGCCAGATTAGTTAATTACAAAATATCCATTAAATTAAGAGAAACGTAAAAATAACCGCTTAAAACGTTAAAGGAAGGTTAAAATAACATGACAGAAACAACAGATGTCACGGATGGGCAACACTGAAGAAGATTTTAACGGATTGAAATTAGGGTTTTTGAAAACTGTTCAGCCTAACAGTTTTTCAAAAGTGATCCCTGCTGCTTGCAACTTCAAAAATAATGCTTAGAGACCTATTTGTTTGTCACGGATCGCTGATTTTGTCACTTACATGTAATTTCTTTGCCTACTTTAAGTTCCATAGCGATTGAGCGCAAGTGATTGGCAAAATTAAACAAAATATACCAGACTGCCGTGACACAGCCCCTTTAATCTGTCACGTGCCACAATAACTAAAAGTTCTTGACAGACATAATGTTGGCTTAAAAGTTCTTTGAACCTTTCCAAATGATATTTAAATTAAACATTTTAGGGGGGACTCCTTATCCCAGAATCAGCCATGCCCAGTTGTACAATCTCCTTAAGAAGGGGTATCGCATGGAACAACCAAACACTTGCAGTGATGAGATGTAAGTAAACTTATTACAAATGACTCGCAATTAATACCTGTACCAAACAAGAAACACGATATTTTTAAAAAACAACATTGTTACGCTATAGGCATAATAATCTTTAAAATGTTCATAACAAAGCCCCGTTCTCGACTACTTCTTTCAGTTCATCGGTAAAACGCCAGGGGTAAAGTACAATACACTTCGATTGACTTTATCTTTAGGAAGGTAGGAAGTGACAATAAAAAAAACAATCATGACTCTCTCGCGAGTACTCGTGCGACTTGATTGCGACAAAAATCAATGCAACTGGCGAATATAACGCCAACGCAAGTAGATCGATCAAAAACAACCAGGTTTAACTCTATCTCTACCAGACGAAGTAGAATTATACCCCAATTTCATTCACGTTTCTATGATGTCATGAACGTTAAGAACTACCTGCTAATGTTCCGCTTTAAAATGGATAATTTCATCCCTTCTATAATACTCACAAGGGAAATTTCGTTTTGCTGAAGTAAAAACCAAATCTTAGGTAATCTCACTCGGCAAAACATGGCAATGTAAATAACTTGAAACCAGTATTTCGTCTCGTAACTAGGTGAAATGTGATCATTCAGGTGAGTGTACTTATTGAAAACATTGTTGTTAACAGCGATTGCCTATTCGACAACAACGATCACCAGAGTTCAAAGTGAGTTACGTGTCGTAGCTTGAAGACAATTTTAGCTAGCGTCATAATTGGCCAACTTGAACAAAGCATAATCCAGAATATTTTTTTCTCGACAGATACAAGTTAATGCTGGACTGCTGGAGGGATGATCCGAATGAACGACCCTCATTCACCGAAATGATAACCACTCTTGAACAAATGATGACAGCTGATACCCCATATTATGATTTTACACTGTTAGATGAGAGCCAGGAATGTTACAATGATCAATGCCCCAGCACCAGCGAAACTCTCGACACTCTCTTGTGATGACTCCAAAGTGAGTCGACCTGACGTGTTACTCTGTTAACGTGGGGCTAGTTTGCAGATTACTCAGTTAAATCTACCTAAGCTTCTGACATTATGGAGGCTGTTTAGGGGCGTAGACTGTAGTGACGATCAAGTTAACGATAACAGGCGCTTCACTTCAATATTACAAGTGTATATAGATTTAGCCAAGCCTTTCGTCTGTATACTGATAACAAAGGCAACAACTTTAAAGCCATTATCATAATGTTAAATACCCAACTTTAGTCCCCTCCTTAGGAGAGAGGGGTTGGCTGATTTAAGAAAAAATGTCCTTTAACATATCTAGAATTAAATAACTCTACCATTGAGCTAACAGCAAAACATAGTTGTAAGTCAAGTTCGAACACTGTAGTAGGCCTGGAAATGAATTCTTCCCAAATTATACCACAGAGAGTTTGAGAACTCCCACCGCCACGCCGGGAGCGGGAAAGAGGAGCAAAGGATAATTTTTACTTGAGGATCATTTTTTCATATCCCCCACAAAATTAGAAAGCATCATTTCTGATAGTAAGTTCCACTCAAGTTCAAGATTATCACAAAGACCTTACTTTTAGAACTATACTTAGCCGGTGAATTCTGAAGTAGATAACGAGCATAAGGTGTGTTGATGCTCTTGTAATAATGTCACTTGACCGTTACCAAGGAGACCATGGGTAATCTCAAGTAGTTTAAGGCCTGGGACTAAGGGGTTTACCTGAGGAAAATGAATTATCGGCCATAACTTTGGCGTAGATGATGGCACTGAGTCAAACTTTGGCACATGTAAAGAACTCATCGTCCTTAACATTTTAAAGTATGAATATTGTGTTAATAAGTCACGTGATATGTCACGTGACCACTTCGCTAAAAATTGTAAATTATTGACCAATTGGTGGCCGGTTTAAGAAAGGAAATCCAGCGATAACATTTTTCTAATTTATATTAAATATTTCTAACACTAACACAGGACCATGCCCATGACCGTCCATTGCCCTTCAATATGAAATTATGAAGGAAAACATCATCTTAAATGCCCAAATTTAATCTTGAATTATTAAAAACTTTAATTTCAAACTTCACGTACATTCATTTTAAATGTAGAAAGTTAGGTATGTTTATCCTGTTTCAGAAATGCCAATTTGTTTATCCGAAAAAAGTAAATTCGCCACCAACTTGCCAATTTCCTTCATTCTCAATTTTTGGTCACATGACACGTCATATCACCATAATTAAACGTTAAGGCACTAGAAAACCTCAAGATTTGCCTTTGGGAAAAACTTTATTTTGTTCTAGGTCTCCTAGAGATATTGCCAATCATTCATATGCCCCGAAACCTTTGACCCAGGCTTTAAACCCCTTTAGATGAGCGTGTGTCACCCCAACAATGTTAGGAGAGCTGTGCAAACGGATCCAACATTTTTGCGCTATGCTTCGGGCAATCAAAGAACAAAAGAAATGTTGGGTTGTTGGCTCAGTAGTTTGACCGGTCTCAAACTTTGCACAACAACTCCCAACAACATGCAACAGGGTGTGCAAAGGGATGCAACATGTAACATTCAACAATGTCGGCAGTTGTTGGCCAACAATGTTGCGTCTGTTGGCACGGGGCTTTAGAATAAATTGTGAAGGAACCTTTTTTTTGGAAGAGCATCATTTAAAAGAAAGGTTTCCTTCAAACAGGCAATAACTAGAAATTTTGCATCAAGTTGAGTTTTACAAGCATGGCTGTGTCTATATAGGAGTCAGAGCTTGAGGTGGCCATAGATTTGTGTAAAGAACGGTTCTTTTTAATAGTGAGAACGTACTGGTTTAGGCCATTTAAATAATGTTTTCCTTCATTAGCTTCTGAGTGCTTGTTAGACCATTTTACAGTTACGAGCTTTATTAGGTACCCTAGCCTCTGAGTGAATGTGAGGCTGAGCTTGACCTTACTTTGATACATTAAACCTCTTTCCTTTTCTTACGAAAATCCTGGTAATAAATACTAGTTAGCATAAGAACAACATGATTTACCTAATAAAGCAGGATTGGGTTTATGTCAGAACAAGGTCAACTCTAGACTCGTTTACACCCCTAACTGTGAAAAGGACTATTTCAGACTACCGTAAAATTCAGGAAATAAGGCCCGGGGCTTACATTTTTCAAAGGCCCTTTTTGAGGGGCTTATTTTTGGAGGGGCTTATATTCGGAGGGACAGTTGCGTTTCAAAATCAATTGGGCTAGCCTTATAGTTGGAATGAAATTTACCAATTTTGCTTGTTTTTCTTTGTATTTGAGGCAATTTCCATGTACAAGCCCGCCAGGGGGGGGGAGGGGGTGGAGGGTGGGCTTATATTTGGAGGGGCGATTTAACGGAGGGTTTTTTGCGTTACGAGTTTGGGGGCTTACCTATTTGGAGGGGCTTATACATGGAGGGGCTTATTTTCGGAATTTTACGGTATTTCACACAGTTTAATAATATCAAAAGAGTCGAAACATATGCTCATAAATGATAAAAGTCTCGGGTTGTACGGAAATTTTTACCGTTGATTATACTGATTTCTTAAATATAACTAAGGTTAAATTATAACGTTTGGCTTACTTACCAACGCGTCGATCCAACAGCTGTATTTGCTTCCAGAGTCGATTTAATAACTTCCACCAAGCCTGTGTTCTGTTCAGAGGAAAATATCCAGTGGTAAAAAAAACTAAACGGATCCAGGTGTTGATAAAAACCTCTAGACGTCAGTGCTGTGTTCGTTTGGCGCGCTAGCATGTGCTACTTTCCCCAAAAACTGGTATCATAAACGGTCAAGCTTCAGATTTGCGGCCATATTGGTTTCTTGGATTTTCTCTTTACCCCAGGCTTCTCTCAATCACAATATTGCTGACGGGGAAGGCGTGGTGAAGAGCCGTACTTATCAAGACGCTCTTTGAGCGTGGGCTCGGGCTACCTTTGTTAGATACAGTGGATTTGGAGAAAACAAATTGATTTAGTTGTACTACTTAGGGTTGAATGATCATGATTTACAGCATAGGCATACAGCCATGGCGTTTGCACGTTGGAATTGTTTGCTGTTTTTATCATAAATTTATGTCGCCGCTCCTGTGTTAAAACCTCACGCAACCTAAAAGCCTTAATTTATCACCACGGCACTATAAGCTGAAAACCTACGTACGACTCAGCATCGTGCAACCTAATGGAACGAGTGTAGGCAGTTTATAATTTGGTCAAGCCAATTAAGATAACAGCAATTTAGGCCGACACCACCGGCAAGTGCTGAATTGTAAAACGATTAAACATAGTCTTGTAACAGAGTTAAAGCTAATCGCAATTGAAATGGCGCGACAACACGAAACTTGGGGAAGTCGCCACGAGACTTGACGGATAGCCAGATACGAGGGGTGAACCACATTTTATTTGTACGACAAAAGATAACAACAACAATGCCTTGCAACTGGGGGGGGGGGGAGGAGGGAAAAAATTACAATATTTACGAGTAAACTGTTCAGTAAGCAACGCAGCTAAGCGAATGATGAATTTTGCCTAATATAACCTTTTTACGTCTAAAGCTAAGCAAATGGACGGTGGCGTACAATAGTGTTGCGGGGACACACGGTGCTTACAACGAGACATGAATAGAGGTATTTATTGAATCTAGCCATACAGAACGAATGTTACAAACGTATTAGACAGTGTTGCAACATTTTGACCTTGGTACCTGTCTGTACCATTGTACTAAGATGCGACAAAGATATTAACTATTGTAGATGCATGGTGCGTTGCATGGCACGAGTTGCTTCGGTCATAAATTGTAAATTATAAATTGCTTTTTTACCCACGAAGCAGTTAAGAGTTCATATGAACTCGTTTAAACGTGTCCGTGCGTTCCAGATCGAATTGAAAGTTGGAGGTGTTGATTTTTGAGGAGAGGGGAAAACCGGAGTACCCGGAGAAAAACCCCTTGGAGCAAGGGAGAGAACCAACAACAAACTCAACCCACATATGGAATCGACGCATATTGAACGACGTCATAACAATAACAATCCCCGGGAGCTCTGGCGCGTCACGCTCTAACCTGATATCAGGCGTTATTATTGTTTTTTTTTATTATTATTTTGCTTCTTTGCTTCTTTGGCTCGAGAGGGAAAAAAAAGAACGCCTGATACATTTATTTAACAAGCCATCAACCGCCCCCTAATTTACATAATCTAACGTCTGCTTGACCTGTCATGTTATTAGCCAATCAGCGTTTACCAGACGGGAATCAAATTTTCGCGGGAATAATGTCTCTTTCGAAATCAATTTTAAAGAAAAGACAATTTTTAAGTATGTTCAGATGGCGCTTCCTAATAGAAAAGTTTAAATGTTTTTTTTTTTTGTGATGAAATACTGCTAGCTGGAGCTGCCGCACCTTTCTTTAACAGCTACAAATAATAAAGAATTTACTGGTAAAAGCTCGTTGACCTCGTTCTGTGCCGAAAGCAGTGAAAAACAAAATTAGGCTGAAGCACCATATTTCACGAACTGAAAAGTGTTGTGAAAGCGAAGATGGCTCAGAATAATTCGCAGGTTTCTGAAGGAGGAATTACGGTCAAATCAGGTCAAGATTCCATTCATAAATTAATTATTTGAAAAGTGAACCCGTTTGTCGCTTCTGTGACTTGTAGCCGGTATCAAATTGCATTGAAATGATCGGTCAATTTTTGACTGCAAGTTTTAGTTTACGATGAAATGGAAAATATTTCAGTGGATGAAATTTCTATTTAGACTTTTTTCAAAATCAAGAAAACTGAGCTGGCAGAAATTTCATAACGACCTCGCGTGTGTATTCACTGCTCATTACGCAAGCAAAAATGCAGACTGAAATCAACAACAACCAACGGATGGCGCCGTTTTGGCCAATCGGAACAGCGCAAATCATCCGTATTGTTTCCTATCCAATCAGAAAAATGTCCAGATTCTGGCTTTTTTGCATGTGATCTGTAAAAGAAATGTATCA